GCAGGAATGTTTAGGTGTGAGTCTGAGTGACGTGATCTCACCGGTGTGTGTTCTCATGTGTCTCTTCAGGTCGAAGGTGTCGTTGAAGCCTTTCCCGCAGAACCTGCAGGGGTGTCTCTTGATCATACTGTGGCACTTGAGGTGACGCGTCAGCATGCGCTGCAGAGGAAACACTTTATGACACGCAGAGCACAGGAACTCCGACGAGCCGCTGGATTCACATGCCTGGAAGCAGAGCGAGACACACGTGAGCTGCCTGAGCACGCAGGTCCAAACCCTGAGGATCTGCAGGTGCTTCACCTTGTTGAGCGGCGCTGAGGCCAGTGCTGGAGGAGGACGAGAACTGTGTGACGGCTGAACCCTCTCCATCCCATAATCCTCCCTGTGACGCTCCAGAGCAGCTGTGTGTTTGTGGACGGCATGAGCGCGCTCATACACTGACTCCAGACCAGCACTGAGACTCTGAACAGATGCTGAAACACACACATTACACAGTTACTGACTGCCACTTGTTTTTTTTAGCAAAAAAAAAATATAGTTACAGAAGCAAAGCATAGATGCAACCACATAAATAAACTAAAAATAATAATATACAATGATAATAATAATAATTATTATTAATAATGTATTTTATTTATAATAGCAATAATAATAAATAACCTAAAAATAACAATCCTATACATAATAAAACCAACAGAGCCCAAAAATAAACCAGTGTAGTAAAAGATGATAATTATGTAAGCTGTGTACTGTATAACTCCTGAGAAATTAATCTCTTTGGCTGCTATTATATATTTTGCACAGACAAATATCCCTTTATAATGCTTCTTTGTTTCTAAAATGTTTAAATAAATCATAGAAAAAAAAGAAATGAATCTCTTTAATGACTGAAAGAACGGACACAACGTTTCCTAAAAGTTTCAGAACTATTCTTAAGTAAAAGTCTTTGTTCTAACTTGATCAAATAAAGCACATGTAATTTGGATTTTCAGTTATTCACACGGAGTCAACAGAGATTCATCTGAAGCTCTAAAATCATGTTTAATAAAGTATTTTCCAGCTCAGGAGAAATAAAGCACTCATATGAGTCAATAGTTCTCATCCAGTAAGAGTCTATAGAGAACTGTTTGAGATCTGACCGCTTTCTTTCTTCCGTGAAACACTATTTGAAGAAGAGAACTGGGTTGAAAATACAGAATATCCTGATTTTAATCAGTTCTGATACTTCTGATTTTGATGACGATATCGATTCTTAAATATCAAGTATTGATCTGTGTTGTTTGCAGTTGATGAGCGAACAAAACTGAACATCAGAAGGTGTTGAAAGAAACAGAAGAGCGCATTATGATAAACATGCGCACTATATTACATGATATTTATGAATGTTTGAATAAATCCATCATGAAAACCAGTTATGACATCCACTGTTTAAATGTTAATATTTCAGCAACAAACTAAAGTGCAAACTCACAGAAACTATCATTGTGTGTTTTATCATTAAATTAGAATATTGTGTGTACTGTCGATAAATAATGAGTAATAATTAAATCATTAAAATAGAATAAAAAAGAAAACACAATGTTTCTTTTATGATTAAAATAGAATAATTATTTTAGTTTAATGATAAAATTATGATAAAATTTAAAAGTTCGTATTTTAATTTTTATTAAATAAAAATAAACAAATAAAAATAGAGTAGTGTACCGACTGACAGGTTTGTTGTATAGTTTACAGCATTATTTGAGAGAGATTTTCTTTACTGTACCTGATTGCCTATGTATCCAAATGAATCAAATTTGAAACAAACTTGAAACAAAATAAATTTAAATTAAATAAAATGTAAAAAAAAAAAAAAAAAAAAAAAAAAAAAACTATTTAT